CTACATGTCATGCAGTCTTTTTGCTCAAATATTTCCAAGGTGTAGCTACCCAGATTGTAGCAGCAATGAAGAGGCCAAGCAGTGCCTTGACACATCAAGCTTTGAAAAAGGCAAAGGGAACAGCTTTGAAAAAGGCAAATAAAACAAAGGCAGCAAAGGGAGCAGCTTTGAAAAAGGCAAAGGGAAAAGCTTTGAAAAAGGCACCAAAAGCCTTGGGAAAGGCAAAGGTGAATTCAAGGAATTTGGCAAAGCTTGGCCAACTCTCACTGAAGGAGAAAGTGAAGAAGATTGCAGAGGAGCATGATGATGAAATTGAAGCAGCAATGGTCCTTCAGGAAAATATGACTGCACAAGAGAAGACAAGGGCCTGGGACCGATACAACAAGTTTGTTGAGAAGCCAGAAAATGATGGTGCCAAAGAAGTGTGGCAGAACCAGTCAAGGAAGGACAAAGGGCTCTCAACTGCTTTGCACTTGATGAGGACAGAGTCCCCAAAGTTTTGCTTTGTGGCAAAGCAAGCTCAGTATGAGCAATCTCTTGAGAAAGAGGAGAAGTGGCTAAGTGAGAAGGAAGCTTATGACAAATGGGGTGAAGAAACCCTCAACAAACACATCAGCTCTAGTCGAGTTGTGTGGAGGGAGATGGGTGGAGTCTATGAGTACCAGGACACAATGGATTACACAAGAAAATCCAGGGGGACTTCGACAAAGACCTGGCAGGTGGGGCAAGAGTTCCAGCTGCAAGCTGAAGAGCAAAATGAATGGGAAACCTTCTTTGAAAAGGACTTGCAGCAGTTTTTTGACTGACCAGTCCAAGAGCAAGGGCACAAGCCTTGCAAAAGGCAAAGGAAAGAACAAGGGGGGGAACCCAGGCAAAGGTGGAAAGGGTGAAAAAGACCCTGTGAAGGCCCTTGACTTGTTGCCAGAAGATGAGCAGTTTCCAGAAGCCCTGAAGAAACTGAAGAAGACCAGGGACCTCACTGCCAGTTGTTTGTCCAACTTTGAAGAAGCCTTGGAAAAGGTGAAAAAAGTCTCCCTACATGAGCAAGCAATCATTGAAGGACAAGCAAGAAATCTTGCAAGATCTCACCAAAGCCTTGCAAAAGGTGAAAAAGGTTCTGAACAAGGGTGAGAAAAACACTCTTGATGAGATGAAGACATGCATGCTGGAGGTGGCTGCTGTGGTGAAGACAGCCAAGGAAGAAGCCAAGGAGGTTGTGCAGCTTGGGCAAAAGGCATTGTCCAAGGCCTCCAAAAAACTGAGGCACTGGCCTAGAAACCTTTGCAAAAGGGTGTTGCTGTGCAAGAGTACACAGCACTTCTTTTTGAACCATGTACAGCTTTAAGCCGGTAGAAAAACATGTGCATTGGTTTCTGGCAGCTTCTAGAGGCCCCTTCTAGTGGCACCAAGGCCCCTTCTATATAGTGGCACCAAGGCCCCTGCTAGAGGCCCCTTCTAGTGGCCTTTCAAAGTGTTGATTTGTCAAATGGCCCTCTGAAAGTGTTCTGGAATGTGTCTTTGTTGTATTGTCACTTGGTTCAAGGCTTCATAGTTCATCGCTTTTAGCCAAGGGCCATGATCCAAGATAGCTGTAAGCCTTGCAGCCTTGAAAAAGGAAGCTTCTTGAGAAGCAATGGCCAAAAGACTCAGGGGGTGGCAATTGGAAAGGGAAGTTGGAAAGGGTGAGAGAATACCCCTTGACAAAGGGAAACAAAGCAGATTGGCAACTGCCTTGCGATCATTATGGTCACATGGCAAGCTCAGTGCCATTACAGTCAGGTATTTAGCTGATTGTGCTTGTCTTGATGGGTGCCATCATGATGAACTAGCAGATATAGCTAAAGCTGGCAGCTTTGGAAAGCACCCAGGCAATTGCCACAGGGACCTGCAAAGCCGGTTTGTTAAGCAGGTTGTTGTGCCAAACCCCACTGATGTTCCTGTCAGGTGCATTGACCCCAAGTCCTTGAAAAAGGATGAAGAGATAGCCTCTGTTTTTCTCCCACACATCATGTTCAGTAGCTTGGCAGCCATGCCAAATTTCTATGACCTCTTCCCCATTCAGCATTTGGAGAGGTTCTGGGATGGTGCTGAGGCAGCATCTGATGAAAGGTTGATTCACCATCCTATGAAGACAAGGGGGTGGAAAAAGTGCACAATACCTCTATTTATCCATGGGGATGCAGCAGAGATGTCAACAACTGACTCCCTCATGATTTGGAGCTGGGGTGCTCTCATGACTTTGTTTTCATCATTGCAATCAAAGTTCTTGATTGCATCCTTTCCCAAATCATCTAGCACCAGGGAGACCTGGGATGATATCACGAAGCAAGTTTGCTGGTCACTCAATGCCCTTTTGCAAGGGATCCACCCAACACATGATGCAGATGGCATACCTTTGAAAAAGGGGTCGCCATTCTTTGAGAAAAGAGGTCAGCAGCTTTGTGCAGGGTACAAGGGGGGTGGTATGGTGCATCATGGGCGATGCTGAATTCTTTGCAAACAGCCTGCACCTTCCCCACTGGAGCTCAATTAATCCCTGTGGTGAATGCGATTGCCTTCTGAAGACACCAGCCATTGGAAAATGGGTGAAAACCATTGAGATTGACAAGCAAGAGTTCACCTTTGTTTCCAATCAAGAAGCCATTGAGGCACCTTGCAGCAATCATTTGCTCTTCCACAGAGTGCCAGGCCTCAGCACCACTTTTGTAAGGGGCGGTGATGCTTTGCGCATATTGTTCTGCAAGGGGCTCTATAGCCATTTGCTGGGGAGTGTGTTGCATTTTTTTGGTCTTTCATGAAGGCCCAGGGAGGCAAAACAAACAGCCTTGGGAAAGGCTTGCAGTAGTGTGGGAAGCCATGCGAAAGGCATATCGAAGCTTGCAATCCCCCACAAGGCTGAGCAATCTGAAACTTTCCATGTTTTGCAACCCAAAGCAGCCTCACAGTGAGCACCCACAGCTCAATATCAAGGGTGCAGAAGCAAAGCACTTCCTACCAGCCTTTTTGCTGGTGTGTCGATCCATGCTGAGAAGGGATATATGGCTGGAGCTGGCAATGCTTGAGGCAATGGAGCATATGCAGCAATTGGTTCAGCTCTATGATGAAAAGGACATCTTTCTCAGCAAGGAAGACTGGCAGCAAGCTTGGGGCCTTGCAAAAGGTTTTTTTGGATACATATGCTTCTTTGAATGCTTGGGCACAAGAGGAACAAAGACCCCTTTTTCACATAGTTCACAAGTTTCATTCATTCCAACACATGGTCTACCAGAGCAGATTCTTAAGTGTCAGAGCATTTTGGTGTTGGTCCAATGAAGACTTTGTGGGCAAGATTGCAACCCTGGGTGCCAGCCTTCTACATGGCAACAGGTCTACAAGGCTGTCCAGAAAAATTGGACCCAAATACCAAATCCTTCTCCACCTTCTCATTACAAGAGAAGGGTTTCAGGATGTTGAGAAAGAATTTTGATCCCTTGCAGAAGGGTGAAGAAAAAAGCTTTGGAAAAGGCATGGGAAGAGCAAAGACTCTGGGGAAGGAACCCTTGGACAAGGGACAGTTTCACAAAACAGCATCCTCCAAATGTTTGAGGAAAAGAGGTGTCTGCCTGCACTTTCATATTGATTCACATTGATTTTTGTATTGATTTTTATATTGATTTTGGTGTTCAAACTTTGACGCTGTGCTATTGATTTTTCTATGGAAACTCAAGTTTTTTTATTGATTCTACAATCAATCCAATCAATAGGCTCAAATTGATTTTGTAGAAGAATCAATGTGAAAATGAGTATATTGATTGTAATCAATATTCGATGCTCAGGGCATGGGCGACAAAAATGGCGTGCCGGCACCCGGTGTTTCTTGTTGTGGGGCTTGATTGGATGGTGTGAAAATCTGATACACATCTGGTTGGGGGCGACGGCGACGGTCTGCCGGCTGCGGCAGGGGTCTCTGGTTCATGAGCAGTAGCAGGAGTGTATCCAGCCTGAAATGCATGGTATGTCTGGTCACTATTCAACTGCTCGGGGCTAGTATGGGACCTATAGGCGAACCAGCGGCTACCGGCTGAGCGGGTTCGGAAACAGCAGGTCTACGAAACCCCATGCCAAACGGAAAGCCAAACAAACCTCGATTGCTTGCGCTGGACCTCGTGGGGCCGAATGATCTTGGTGCTGTTGTGGGCAATGACCAAGATTGACTTGAGTTGGAACTCCATGGGTCATTTTGAACCAGTGGGTCTTCGGCTTCCGCCTCATTGGACATGTACATGTGGTACGTGCGTCCTTGGTGGGAATCGTCCTCGGTATTCATGGCAAATGTCACATGTTCAGTGCGATCAGGCGGACGAAACAATTCTGTGGTGTCAGTGATGATTCCGGCAAGCGGACCAACATCAGTGCTGGCCATTGGTGCACTGCTTCGGGCAAAGAATGTGGTGGACGGTGCACCACCACCTCCATGACGACGGGGACATGCACCTGCGAGATGTTCAGTGCTGCCGCATTCATAACAGCGCATCACAGTTCCATCCGGTCCTTTGGGGGTTCCTTTTCGTCCCTTGCCTTTGCCTGGTGTTCTCTGTCCTCGAAATGCTGGCAGTGCCAACTGGACTTCCATGTCACTCACGTCGGCCAACAATGCGGTGATCGGATGCTTCCCCTTCTGCCCTTTGCCCTTTCCTACTGCGTAGGTTGGATGGCCATACTTGCCCTTACCCTTAGACCCTTTGCCCTTGCCTTTGCGATTATATCGTTTGACAAACCTACGAACAGTTCGGGTGCTTTTCTGCGTGAACTTACGCCACTTATGTTTAGCAGTACGGTATGCCCAAAATAGGTCCTGAGCAATGTGGCTTGGGTCACGATCGGCAATGTTCACTGAGCTGACGGAGCCTGAACTGGTATCTGAATCTGTAGCCATGTCTTCATCTTCAAAACCAGTTCCTGTGTTTGCCTCGGCAGTGGCATATGCAGACGAACTGGCACTGGCAGCAAATGCTTGCTGTTGCGGCCATTCTTGCCACTGCGCATGCTCCTGTGTGGAGCCGGACCATTGCTCCTCCTGCGTGAGAAAGGCTGTCTGTGCATGTGTACCTGGCATGCGGAGGCCTTCGCGAATATTGCCCGGTGTGCGTTCGAGAATGTGTCCCATCCTGCGCAACAATGTCTTTAGCTCACTGAACTCGGCTTCGGTGGCAGGAAACAAGCCATTGAAAGGCGCCAGCAATTGCAGCAGTTGTTGGTCTGTGATTCCAATGGCTCTCAACAAGATCCAAGTCACTCCTTGTACGGATACAACTGCGCCTCCTTGTTCTGCTGCACGTGCTCTGATGGAGTCAAAGCGTACAAGGAGGGAGTCAATCGGCTCGTGACCTTTTCGGGAGAAACTCATCAATTCAGTTATGGCCTGAACTCTGATCTCTTCTCCGAGATTGCCGAATCGCTCCTGCAGGGCATGCATCAGGTAAGTCAACGGGTCCACGGCAACCCCGTTAACAATGCCGCCGTCAACGACGGCCTGAGCTGGGATCTGTCTGGTCATTTCTTTAGCGGCATCCCTCAGGACTAACATGACGGAAGCTGCTTTTCGCGCCGGCTCCATGTCTGAAGCGATGCTCCACAACATGACGTCTCGCGTCCACTGTCGAAATGGGTAGCTCGATTCACCTTCTGGACCCCATGCAGGGGGGAGCTCTCAAGGCATGTCCATGATTGGCAAACATGTGACAGGC